TAATAATAAATAAAATAAGCCTTTATCCTTTATTACTGAGGTTACAACTTTATAACGTTACGTAAAATTTTGTAAATCGATGCGTGACAACCAAAAATATCTGAACGCATCGAACGCATTTTTGGTACTTCTGTGTAAAAGACCGCGATATTGTAGTGCTGAATTTTTTATGACTGCATATAAATACTTTGGTGTTACAAAAAAAAGTATAAAAATGAAAATAGATTATGACATTTTAAAATATTTCTATTATGTAATAGTACGCGGTTTTGGGGATTCCATGTACAGTCAGCCGTGAAACCGACTCCATTAGTACTTTGACACATTAATTGAGGAAGTGTTCATTTATATTTTTATTTAATGTTAAGAGGAATCAACGACTGTAACAAATTAGTATATAATGTACAGTCAGCCAAATAATTCAGTATGCAGGTAAAAAATAAGATTGGTTAAGTATGGAGAGTAACTATCGTTATCTTAAATTCTTTACATTTTTTTTTTTTTTTAAACGTTGCCCCACACTAGGATTTTCTCCTGTGTCGTGGGTGCGTTTACAAACATACAAGTTCACGTACACAATGACACCCAGACCCGAAACAACACTTTGTGGATCACACAAAGTTGTGGATCACACAAAGTGTTGTCCCGTGCGGGAATCGAACCCGCGACACGTTGCACGGCAGCCGGTTGCCCAGCCACCGCACCAACCGTGCAGTGTAATTGAAATAAATGCTTTGACTTTTGACTATGTGTCCAACCTAATATCCTTTGTCTTCAGCAATTTTCAAAGTAGAAAGCTAAAATTAAAATTAAACATTCAATATACGTCGGCCCATGAAATATAAAAGAAGTATGTGGATTATTTGTGCACAGTTTTTTAATCTGACCCTCAATCCAATATGAAAGAGCGCCAACAAAGCCGCTATGCAAAGTTACTTCCAAATAATTAATATGTTATGATAACTGATTTAATTCTTCTATTTTCCACCAGGTGGATACTCTATCAGTCCGGTACTGTAAGACTCAGGATGACTACATACCACCAGATGTACTGGATTACGTCATTGGAGTTTTATTGCTGGCTCTTCTATTGGTGAACCTTGGCTGTTCCGCTTATTACTTCTTATGGCCCGTGGAGAAGGAAAAAGGTATCATAAATAATTTTTAAAATCCAGTTTTGAAGCTACCTGTCTACATAAATGTCGTGTAATTTAATAATACAGAATATTGGTTCCCTGACTGCCTCGTTGGCCGAGTGGTCGCAAGTGCGACTGCCGGGCAATGGGTCTCGGGTTCGATTCCCGGGTCGGGAAAAGTATTACTGGGTTTAAAAACCTCAGTAGTAGCACGGAGTCTAGAAATGTGCCCGGTATATGGCTCACCCCCTATTACATGGGACTCGTAACATAAATAGTGAAAAGTGGGTGTTACATTGTACAGTGGCATTAAGTGCCGTAATGTGCACCTCTGCCTACCAAAGTGTTGTCCCGTGCGGGAATCGAACCCGCGACACGTTGCACGGCAGCCGGTTGCCCAGCCACCGCACCAACCGTGCAGTTGGTACTTTAAATGAAGCGAAGATCTTTTGTTACTGTTGGTCGGATCAGTAGCCAACTGATGACTTGTGTCACTGTGTGTACTGTATAATTTTTTATTTTCGTACATAGCAGCACGCCCTTTATCTCCAAAGGCGTAGGCAGTGGTGCGTATTATGACACTTAATGCCACTGGCCAATGTAACACCCACTTTTCACTATTTATGTTATGAGTCCCGTGTGATAAGGGGTGAGCCTATTACCATATACCGGGCACAATTGCAGACTGCTTGCATTGCAGATCACAGAGATATAATTTGGTTGATTCATCATTTATATAGTTTTCCTTATTTAATTATTTTTACATAATAGGCGCGGTCTAATCTACCTGGACGTGCCAATAACGGCCGCTGACAAGGTGTCAGTGCCCCCCCTCAAAGGATTCGTGATGAACCGCATCGCCGGCGACTACTTCGAGACGTTGCTGTATAAAGTGTTCGTCTCTATTGATGAGCATACCAGTGTCGCTGACTTGGCGGCTGTTTTGCAGGTTTGTGGAGTTTTAGATTACTTACATAACGTTGGTGCGTGGAAAGAATAAGCAGAGTATAACAGAGTGTAGGTATGCCACTTTCGCCATCTATGCTTACAAACTAAACTTTGTGGACAGAGTTGTGGGTTGTATTATTGCCCAAAATGTATCTTGTGTAAACCATGTAGTTAGTAAGAGTTTATAATGTAACCGTTTACTGCCCCTCTTAATAAAAAAGAAACTAGTTTGTGACAAAGTGTGGGAGAGCCATGCTTCGGCACGAATGGGCCGGCTCGACCGGAGTGATACCACGGCCTCACAGAAAACCGACGTGAAACAGCGCTTGCGTTGTGTTTCGTCGTTGAGTGAGGTTACCGGAGGCCCAATTACTCTTGCCTTCCCCAATCTCCCCAATTTCTGAACCCCCAACGATCCTCAAACTCCTAATCCCCAAAAGGCCGGTAACGCATTTGTAACGCCTCAGGGTGTCCATGGGCGACACCGATTGCTTACCATCATTTACCGGCTTATGCCATAAAAAAAAAGTTGTTCCAAGTAGGAGCTCGAATTCATGACACGTTGCGCGACAGCCGATTGTACACTCTCTGCGCCAACTGTGCACTGACTTAGTTTTAATGGAGGCTAACGAATTTTTAGTTACCAAATAGTAAGTAATGTAGCAAGGACTTTTGTCCAATCACAACAACTGTCAAATATTTATCGTGTAATGGTGTGACACTAACTAATTCCCTATTGGACGAAGAACGAGGGTTTCACACTAGCGCCATCTGAAGAGCATTATGCATACGGCAGGCCTCATTACAAATTAAGCCAGCTACTATCTAGGATCTGGGGATTGAAGTGAAAGTAGGATTGAATACTCCATGGACGCATTATGCAAGTTGCAATCACTCTACGATTCATTAGATTTAAATTATTTTATTTTATCCCTATATTTTATTCGATTATGACGAACTATTGTAAAATTCAGTAATTTTACCTGAAATAATTGTATCACTATCTCAAATATACACTGTTCCAGGTGGAATGCGAGTTAGTAAAGCAAGCAGTGTCGCTGTACTGCCGCCTGGGGTTCGCGAACAACCTGCAGCCCCCGCCCGTGTCCCCGCAACACCCGTCCTGGAGGGACGCCGTCACCACACATAACCATCAGCCGTTAGTATATTATTTTCAATAAAGAATATTGTTCTTTATACCTATAATTCAAAGGTGTTAGTAAAGGTGCTATTTTGAAATTTTATGCCGAATTTCTGGTGGGTCTACGTTCTATCTTATAGTCATTGGTCTAAATTACTAGTATTAAATTACTCGCTTTCAAATTCCGTGCACCTAATAAAAAAATCTAAAATTGAAATCCTACACTTGCCTGACCTGAACCCGAGGTCTCTTGCATACCAGTCGTGTTTTTTAACTCAAGAATCAGTTTAAAAATTTAAAATCTAATAATAACTTACCGCCACTAGGCAACTCAAACCAATTACCAACCTTTTTGACCAACCAGCCAATTTTTTTTTCGTTTTCCCTCAGGTACAGACAGATAGCCCCATTAACATTCGATCCCAACATGGATGACGATGCGCTGCAAATGGAACCGATCCTCATCAAAAATCATCAAATGCCGTCTACTTCGAAACAGGTATGTGTTCGTTAATTTTTATTTTATTTATTTGGGAAAACAAACAGTGACACAATTTATTACACGATACATTATGATGACACAATACATAGGTAGTTCGAACAAATGTGTAACCAATGGCGTTTTCCACAGAATATACATAAATGTAATCATAAACACCATCACACAAACTTATATTTTTTTTTTTTTTTTTTTTTAATTGATGGGGCGACGTTTGACCACTATCTCACCTGATGGTAAGCGATGATGCGGTCTACGTTGGAGCACGTCGTCCCATAAGCAACCTATTCACTCGGGCCTTGAAGACTCCCAGGTTATACCCTTCAGGAAATACAGACTCTGGCAAAGAATTCCACTCTTTAGCAGTACGCACAAGGAAGCTTGAAGCGAAGCGCTTCGTGCGTGTGGGCGGAACATCTACCATGAATCGGTGACGCTTCGCGGATTGTCTTGTGGTACGATGATGGAAAGGACTAGGGGGAATTAAGTTGTGCAATTCCCCCGCACACTCCCCGAAATGTATCCGGTAGAAAACCGAAAGGCTTGCAACCTTACGCCTGTGTTCGAGGCTTTGAAGCCGAGCCTTTACAAGCGCATCATCGTCGATGAGCCTCCTGGCACGCCTCTCAATGTGCTCTAACGCGTCCAGCTGATATTTAGCCGAGCCGTCCCAAAGATGAGAGCAGTACTCCATACAGGACCGAACCTGTGCTTGGTACAGGCTCAGCAATTGTCTCGGCGTGAAGTACCGTCTCACCCTCCATAGGACACCCAACTTCCTACCAGCCAGTTGCGCTTTTGACTCTATATATGAGCCAAAGTTGAGCGTGGGCGTCAGAGTTACACCAAGAAGCTCAAGACGATCGGTTATCGGTACGGATACATTCCGGAAAGTAGGAGTCAGCGGAAATTGACTCCGTTTGGCGGAGAATAGACACGCCTGGGTCTTGCTAGCATTGAACCTAACCAAGTTGGCGTCACCCCAGTCGGACACCGCCTTCAAGGTCGAGTTCAAACGTTCGACCATGGATTCTCTTAAAGACTGGATCTGTGTTCCGCTAGTCCGCGCACCGGACACATACCTTTCAACAACTGTGCTGTCATCTGCATACCCAAAGATACCGGGCTTAAGCAGGTCGTTTATGTGCAGCAAAAAGAGCGTCGCTGAAAGTACTGACCCCTGAGGGACGCCGGCATTAATACCGAATTGGTCAGACGAGCAGCCATCGATGACTACTCGTATTGACCGATCCCTCAGAAAGTCTGCTATCCATATGCACAGACCAGTAGGAAGTCCATATGCAGGAAGCTTGCCGATTAGACTGTCGTGCCATACCCTGTCAAAGGCCTTCGAAATATCGAGGGAGACTGCTAGTGCCTCTCCGTGCCCCTCTATGGCCTCGCTCCATATGTGAGTGGCATACGCAAGAAGGTCCCCAGTCGATCGGTTACGCCGAAACCCGTATTGCCGATCGCTGAGGAGATCGTTACCTTCAAGGTATGCCAGGAGTCTATTGTTAAGAACACGTTCCATGCTCTTGCAGAGTATGGACGTGACCGAAATAGGGCGGTAATTGTTAGGGTCGGCACGACTACCTTTTTTAGGCACAGGCTGTACGTTGGCCAGCTTCCATGCAACCGGTACTAGACCCGTCTCCAAGGAAAGGCGAAACAGACGTTATTTATAACTAATAAAAAATATAAAGAAAACATAAATAACATTACGCTTTTTGATCGCTGAGGGGAAAGGCAAAAATAATGATTGATACAACATCAAAAGCCCATGACAATCCACTTGTCTTTCGGCCTCCTCTACATACGAAAACCATTATCGCTACACTTAGTGGGGTTGAATATCGTAGTTTAAATAGATTGAGGTTTATTAGAAAATAATGTAAAGTCTTAAGTCCCTTAGACGGCTTTACTACACCCATGGAAAGAGGGGTAAGACTCAATCTACACTGCTTGGTAGACACAAAGAATAAGTGTAATGTATTTTTGTATCTTTCCAGAGTCCAGACGAAATAACAGAGCCTTCAAACAACGGCGGCCAAAGAGTTGCCATTTTGTTCGACTCTACATTAGCAGCTTACCTCATGATGGGAAATCTGTCTCCAGTAAGTGTCTCAAAAGTAAAAGACATCTTTATTGTTCAAGAAATAAAGACCATTATGTTTCAACACGATGGAATAATTTATTTGGGTAGGTTTAGACAGAAATTTTATTTTTATTATACTTATTTCCAGGATCTAAAGAGTCACGCGGTAACGCTGTTTGAAGTCGGTAAGCTGCCTGATGAGAGTCTGGACAGCTTACTCATGGAGTTAGACAAGGTAAGTTGAGTGGCGTACTGAAATCGAAATAATTATATTTTTTTGTATCCCATATTGTTACTGAATTGATACTTCGAAACTTTAATCCCAAAAATTTAAGTCCAATGTCTCTCCCTTTCTCTCTTGTCTCTCTCTTCAACTCTGTTCTTCCCTCCTTTTTAAGGAGAGAGGGGGAAGAAGAGTGAGGACGATTGTTGTTTAGTACAGTATGGATGTACACTGCGATGCGATGTAGGTGGTGGCGGACCCCGAGATCGAGGGCGAGGCGCGGCGCTACCTGGCGGCGGCGGCGTGCCTGCGCGCGGCGCTGCGCACGCTGCGCCCGCGCCTGCGTCCGCTCGACCTACTGCGCTGCGAGGCTCTGCATGCGCTCGGCGCCGCCGCGCGGGCCCGCCTGCTGGCTACTAAGTACAAGTTAGTGTGACTAATTTGATTCAACTAGCCCCCTTTAAGGAGATACCTTTTTCAGAAGTGAACAACCTGGATATCTTTTGTCTGATAATGATGATGAACCATCATTCAAATATCGAAAACGATAAAGTAGGCTGAGCAACTCAAAGTGAACCTTCATTTCTGATATGACATTTCTCCATTTGTTTTAGCCGTTTCCCAAATCAAATCAAATCATTTATTTGCATAAAATATGAGTGTTTACGAATAAGTTACAGATTTGTAATATAGTGGCCGTATACATTTCGCCCGTTTATTGCCATGCATAATATGGTAAATTCTCAAACTCCAATTTCCAAATATACCATTTTTTCAGGTCTCCTTATAAATGTTCAGTCATGAAATTAATCATTTGCTGTTGAAGCATTTCGATGAGTCTTGTAGACACGATTGATGAGACCTGTTGACTCGGCCGCAGACTGGCGGTGTCGACGGCCCCGCTGTGCCGCGAGGCGCGCGCGGGCGCGGCGGCCGGGGCCCTGCCGCACGTGGGGCCCGCGCCGCCCGAGGCACACACGCCCTGGATGAAGCTCTACTTGTACCACGTCGCCGGGTATGGACCACCCACACTGTTGTTGACCAAGGGTCAGTCACATTTTAGATTCCTTTTTATTATTATAATGAAACTGTTTGAAGTTTTATCTTAAGTAAATTCTATTTCAGACTGATTGCCATCTTCCTAAACATAACTTCGTAATAATGATACTCGTTAGTTGATGATGAGTTTCACATAACATAACATCATCACGCCTTTTCGCCCCGAAAAGATAGACAGAGATACACATTATGCCACTGTACAATGTATCACCCATTTTTCACCATTTATATTATAAGTCCCTAGTAATAGGGGGTGAGTCTATTGCCATATACCAGCCAAAATTCCAAACTCCGTGAAAATCGAACCCGAGACCCCTGCCAGGCAATCGCATTTGCGACCATTCGGCCAATGACGCAATCAATGTTTTTACAATGACTAGTGTAAATCTGTAGTATATAGGTATTTTCTCTCATTTGAACCAAAAGGATATAAAAACTTTTTCCATTCATTTATTAAGCAGCAATACTAATAAGAAAGAAAGAAAAAACATTTATTTGGCAATTACACGCACAGAAAACAAAGAATATAAAAAATAAAAATACATATATATAAACAAACAGAAAACATCACAATATAACAAAATAATAATACGATGATAACAGAATATTGAATAGACAAAAAAATCTAATAAACAAAATAATAATATTAATTTGCGCGTGCTCATAAAGTGGTATAACTAGTGAATGTATCCCAGGCACTCAACTGCGCGGCGTGCCGCGGCTCCTGCTGGGGTACTCCCGCCTGGGCGTGTCGTGGTGGGGCGCGGAGGCGGCGCTGGAGGGCGCGGGCAGCGCGGCCGGCGCGCTGGGCGCCGCGCCCGCCCTGCGAGCCGCCAACGCGGCGCTGCGCCGCGGGCCCGTGCTGCTGCAGGCGCTCGGCGTGCGACACCCCGCGCCGCTCAGACATCTCATGTTCCCGCCTGACGCTGATACCTGCACAGGTTCTTATTCTATTTAGTTTCTTACCTTTAGTGGATCGAGAGATATTTTATTCCCTACCGCTTGAATGATACTTCGCTGTGGGAATCTATAAAGTTCTACCAAATATTCCCCAGTATTTCATCTGTAGTTGCCGTAGCTATGTGTAATTTTTAACTTCTTACTTCCTGGTTCAACTTGTACGATTATTCAAAATTCTGTTGTGATGCAGAATTAACACAGAAATGATAAGATACATTTTTTTGGTCAGAGTCACAAGCGCTATGGTCTCGTCACGCTGGTCTGCGTCGCCTGTTGAAGAGACTGCGACTGACTCGCTCCGTCGGCTACGTCACGTTGGCAGACATCGGCGTGCCAGACCTAGGCTGTGCCAGACCACCGGCTACCGTGCAATTAGGTAAATACATATACCTATTATTATGTTCTATTTAATATTTGAGAACTGTTTGTCGATGGCCCAAATATCACAAACTGTTTCACAGTACCACAAAGAAAGAAGAAAGAAATATGCGGTATAGCAAAACCTATCAGCGAAGTATCGTTATCATCGACGGAATCCGCAGAGAGGTACACGGAGGAGTACTCCAAGAACCTGACCAGGTTGCAGTCCCCCATAGAGTCTCACTTCGCCGTCACCCCCACCACTGACAGCAAGAACTCCTCCCCAGCCAACGGGTTCACCAGCGTCGAGTCTGGACAACTGCTCTGTGACGAACTAGACAACTTAGCGCTCGATGACGTCACGAAACACGCCCACAGCAAGGAGTCCATAGCTAACAGCGATGACCTCGTCCCCATACATTCCTCTTCCACCAGCATCGAAGACCTCAAATCCGATAAAAAGCATTCCAAAGAACACTCCACAAGCAAAGAATCCATTGCTTTATCCGACGATCTCGTTCCGATACATTCTTCGTCTGTCAGTAGCGAGAATTTAAACAAAAAATGCGACCGGTCGGTCAACCAGTTGGAGGATTTGTTGAGTCCGGCTGAGGAGTCGATCTCTATGTTTACTCAGTTGAATGACAAGTTGACTGAGATGTCGGACGCGCAGGGCGACAGTGGCGTGGACACTGCTCATTATGTATCTGATGATGAAACTTGTAGACCAGAGGTACGTCGTTTTATACTTAGTTATTTTTTATTATTACTATTACTTGAGAACATTCTGGTCTATTTTTAAAATATATTTTCAGAGATGGACAATAGTAGATCTCCAGTTCGGCATACCGCTGTTCGACGAAGCGCTATGTGAGAAGATTTGCAAGTGTATAGTAGAACGAATAGCGAAACCTGAACTGTAAGTTATTGACTATAAGGTTTAATTTATTTTTTTACGAATATCAGGATGTATGTTTAATACTTTTTTGTCTTGCAGACTGGAGAAGGTGAAAGAAGATAATGAATTCATACGTTCCGATATATTGAAGTTTGTGTCGCAATGTCAGGTGAGTTTTATTATTCGCTGTACACTTTTAATTGATCTTTTCAACTTTTGAGAGGACTGGCAGTCTGTAATAAGTTGCCATCCCAAGTACTTTATTGAGTACTATGGTTTTTCTGACCATAGTCCAGATTATATATTGTACCAAGAACATAGCCTTGTATAAGAAAGTACAGAACGTCATCTATTACAGTTCTTATATCCTCCTCTAGCTTCCATTACGTTTATGCATCTGCTTATACTAGCACATTAGTTGACACCATTTCAAACTTTGCCTTTTGTGTTGGCACATGTAAAAATCTAATATATTTTCTTCACGTTCCAGTACTACCCCGGCGAAGATATGGGAATAGTAAAACGTGGTTCCTTAGTTCCATTACCGAGAAAGAATCTGGCGTTCGAGAACGGCAGGATCAGTGAGTGGACAGGCAAGTGAGCGCCGTCTCACTCGCACACGCCATATCTACTATTAGTGCGATAGAGACAGACATATGTATGTTTGTTGTTCCGGAGTTGAGCTTTACTAGACGTTATGTAGAGAATTCATAAATTATTTGTGCTAGAAGTGGACGTGGAAAATGTTTGGGGAATTTAAAAAATATTATTAGTAATAATTTAGCCGAACTTGTCTTCCCATTACTTAGTTATATGACTTGCTCGTCTAAAGTATTAGATTTATTTGTTTATGATTAGATGAAAATATGAAATGAATGTACCTATCACAAAGTTTAGTGCCATTGTAATACCGCACACTGCTACCAAATTCCATGAGTGCGTCGAGAGTGGCGGTTCCAGTGAACCAATCAGACGCCGAACGCGCTCGATGCTATTACGTTACGAATGCGATACGGTAAAAAGGGGTGAATGGGGATCGAGAGGTGAACAGGGACAGAAGAGGGGTGAATCGATACTATGAAGAATTTCTCAATATTTATTCACCCCTCTTCTATCTCTATTCACCTCTCGATCCCTATCCACCCCATTTTACAATAGTTATTCGTGTTTGGCACTTCTGATATTTTAAAATATCAGTCCTACTAAACTTGTGAAGACAGATATGCTAAAGTAAAATAAAAAACGCTAAACGTTCCTTGACAAACTTAATGTAGGATTCTCCCGTACATTTTCTTCAGTCTACTTTCAGTACAATATGAGTATTGCGATCGAGAAGCTTCTATAAAGAGTTGTTCAGAATGTAGTATTTTAATTTAGGTTTCAATGTGACATAGCCTTTTAATTAAGTTGATGCTTTTGTCCACAAGCTTAGACTAAAAAGATAGAGGTTCTCTTTCTCTCTCTTTGTAATTGTTTTGAGCTAAAGAAAATAGTAATAGTAATGTGTGGGCAAAAGGTATTAACAAAATTTTTATCATTATTTATTCATGAAAGAAGGAAATCTACATAAATTTTGATTTTTGAAGCAAGTTTTTGCTTTGAACTTTTGGAGCATTGGTACATGCCTTTTTTCATTGTATTATCACAATTGTGATTTTAGCATTATGCTATTTCAGGAATTGAATCCAATACAAAAGAGTTTTGCTAATGCATCCAGTAGTTTCAGATGTTGCGGACAATCACATAAACTTAAGCTTTATTATCAGTAAGTATAAGGCCCTAATTTATTTACCAATACTCCAAAATGACCATTCGAAAAACTGGGCGTGTGTGAAAAATATGAAGGTCATAGATAATAAATGAGTTGATATAAAACCTGCATGGTATAAATAAAAATAACTTTTAATTTTATAAAGTAGGAATGATTCCAATATTAAAATAAGTCACTGTAATTTATAAAAAAGAAAATTATTATTTAAATGTTAGTGGCAAAACTTAATTTAAAATTAACGAAAATATCACTTCTGTAAGTGTGAAATCTAGAAAAAATGCCATTATAAAAAAGTATTTTTGTTTCTTATTTTCGGGAGGCTGCAATGAATGAATAGTGGCGACTTTGAATACACTAAAAAAATGATGACTTATGCAACTTCAAAAGTAATTTTATTTGCATGCAATAAAAATGATAATTTAATGTTAATTTAGTTTAACTATACTTATAAATAATACAACAAACTAATGTAAAAGTTAAACTTCTAAGAAAGCAACATCCTGTTTCTAAAAGGTCATTTTGAAATCATACAAATTATGAACAATACTAGATTATAAAACTAGTGCCAACTACTCCTTGAAAGTTACCAATACAGAATTAAATATTTCACCTTGGCCTTTTAGAAGCAAGTTGTAAGAGATTTAAATTAGTTATATAATGTATAGAAAATATAATAAATGTGCATCTTTAGTTTATGATTCGTTTTTAAAGCAAATTATTGTCAGTATTGTATGTTGCGTCTACATTATGAATCAGAGATTTATTTATTGTTATACTTGTACTTAGAATACGATTTTATCATTCATTGTTTTGTTTTTGTTTAGTAATAAATCTTTTACAGTTCTCTTCGAATTTTGTGGTCCGAGCTGTGTTGACTTGCTTATTTAAGTTTTAACTCTATACTGCGGTTAATGCGCAAATTTGCGCAAAACTTAGCGCAATGCGTATGATCATACACATTGCGCTAACCGGAATGTTAAGAAGATACATTCTGCTAATAATTACTAGACGTAATTTAATGAGACCGTTATCTTTTTGACATTTTAATCCTAGGGTTCAGCAAGTAGGAAGGTGGTGAAGCCATAAAATTGGACGAGATCTATTCGTAGAATCAAAATCGATTAAAATTTAACACTCTTATTAGTAAATATGGCCATAGCTTCATTTAATGCATTTTTTTATACCACGACGGTGGCAAAAAAGCACACAGCCCACCTGGTGGTAAGTAAGTATCCGTCCCTTTTGCCTCGACCACTCTTTGGATTGTATCCGTCAATTAAATAAAATGGATTACTATTTTAGTTTCTTTGTTTTTTATTTAAGACAGTGTTGTTACGCCATAACGAGCAATCCTGTTTGCTTGTAGTTAAACACAAATTAATCAACATTATTTACGTTTTTATAGCTTACTCCAGTTTTTATTATTGTAAGATACAAATAAACTATTTGTAAATTATCTTTTTTGTTTTATTTTATGTATTTTTAACCATGATCGTCCTTTTGCAAAGGCCTCCCTACTCTCCTTCACTTATTTTATGTAAAGCTATTAGCGGCCAATCCTTGTCATATATGTCCAATTCCTTATTTTAATTTAAGTATACGCCTCTATTGACTACTTCGTTGGCCGAGTGGTCGCAAGTGCGACTGTAGGGCAAGGGGTCTCGGGGTTCGATTCCCGAGTAGGGCAAAGTATTCCTGGGTTTTTAAAAAATTCTCAGTAGTAGCACGGAGTCTGGAATTGTGCCCGGTATATGGCAATAGGCTCCCCCTATTACATGGGACTCATAACATAAATAGTGAAAAGTGGGTATAACATTGTACAGTGGCATAATGTGGACCTCTGCCTACCCCTTCGGGGATAAAAGGCGTGATGTTATGTTCTACATAATATGATTTGTGAAATATTATTTACCCTTATCAATTCTACAGTCTACACTGGTATTATTATTACTACTTATGGTATTATTGATATGCAGGTATATATGTTCTGTGCAAGTAATCCTTCTGGGTTCTGTGCTAGCAATATCAAACAATTTATGTAAAGTATTGAGACGTCGGTGTTTATAGAAAGGTAGATATGATATTTACAAAAAAATAAGTGTAATAATCGTACGATGTAATACTTTACCAAGTTTCTTGTTATTGATAAAAAAACAATATAGTCTATGCGTTTGTTTATGGTTCAATCTTAATAAGTGGGTGGGATTTTGAACGTAATACCGATATCTATGTTAGCTCTTGAGTCGTTGGAAATAAAGTTCAAACTAAAACAAAATACAAGATGCTATTGTGCAAATGTCATGTTACTTCATGACAGTTCTTTTTTTTCGGAAAGTTCAAGAGATTTTGAGAAACGTAAACGTCACTCAATTTGTTTTGGTTAGTTTGATTTTGACGTCTTGGGTGAAAATTGTTCCTGCTGTTTGTGTAACAATTGTACATTTGTGCGAAATCTTTGCGGTTATAAAACTAAAACCCTGGCCGGATTGAAGAGAAACGATTTCGACAGGATGGAAGTGGATCAGTTTGCTGTCGATTTATATACCGGTGAGGGGTCGCGGCTGCCTCTCATCGACGAATCGTCGGCTTTCGGGACACAGGCACCGAAGGACAGGTAGGTAACCTTTTGCGAATAGTGCGTACATAAATCCAGGTGTAAAGACATAGAGACAATTCCTAGATTGCGAAACGCATGGTGATCGTCCAAAAATGGTCATCGCCCATCGTTGTGAGATATAAAAAAAGTTTCTCTACGAGCTCACCCACGCAGCAGTTATGTTTCTATGGCATATAATTAATTATATTGCGATGCTTTTCGACAAGCAGAGGTACTTGGCCTTTTTTGTTATCTATTAGGTGTTCCATTAAAGGTGATGCTTATATTTGTGACAAAAGACAAGGTGGAAGTAGAATAGACTAGCGAGAGATTTCTATGCCCATTGAATTGCGTTTTTAGTCAATTAAATGCTTAATGACTGGTTCAGTAACCAAGCTATACCCACTTCAGGGCCTTATTGTACTTATAGACATCAATTCCAGTTTTAAGTTTACACACCTAAAGGGTGACTAGTACAGTGCTCATTCATATTAGAATACATCACAACTCCAGTCTGATATATCTACTAGATGTAATTTGCTGCACTTCTAACTTATGTTTAACACTTTTTGATATGTTTGTATCTCATTGACATAGTAGCAACTATATTCACCATATTTCCAATTAATAAGTGTTAGGTATCTATCAGTGAAATCAAAATGTGTTAAAGCTATTGTGCTTCATGCAGTAATAACTCAGCTCAACTGGAGCATACTTCAATAATACCACAGTTTCACAGAACACTATTTAATCTTGTAGAAATCTGCATGTACGATTAATAACTGCTACCTTAGCTTCTTTCATTTTCTAACTGGTACATGCTATTTATTAAGTTAGGAAAAGATCAAAATGAAACATAATTTCATTGATAAAAATGACACAGCAGTTGTTATCTTTTATTTGGTTCCATACAGATAAGGGCCGCAACAGTGTTGCTTTATATTTGGACCATGATAATTGTAGGTTTATTATAAAAGTATTAATTCTTCTTTACAATATATTTTTTTTGTTCAAATGAGAAATATTTAAGTAACCACCTTATAAATATATAATTAATCTATTTATAATTTTTTACACTATTCATAACCAATTGGGTTCTTATTGGCTTTTTCATTTTGGAGCTTGTATAGTCTCTTGATAATAATTAGGTAAATGAATTACGATGCGGAAAAATGCTGACTTTAAATGTGTACGGTTGCACCGTACAGAGCTTTTATGCCGAACATTCTGTCATAGTAGTTTTTCAATTTGTTCCTTGATTGTTAAGTAAGGTTATGGCATGACTTATCAATCTTATCAACACTAAATGTCACACAACAAGACAACAACAACAGCCTATACAAAATTACTATTTAATCTATTTTATTTGCTGATAACGTGGCAAATTATTATATCTTGTTTCCTCAGTATTGATTTGAAATATTAAAAATTGAAAACTCATTACTCAACTGCTAATCATAACAAAATACAATTTGTGTGTAGGTTTTATATTGTGTCCAAGTAATGGAGATGGCGTTTTGTTTCAATAGGTATATCATCTACTTATATAAAGATGTGACTCGTGTACAGTGATAAGAAAACCTAGTAAATATATTATTAGAAAATATTAACATGTAAAGTTCCCGCCAGATTGATTGCAATACTGGACCAAGTGGAAATGCGAGTGGAGCGATTGCGGCGTGATACAGTTCGCATTGAAGAAGAACGTGACTCTTTGCTGTCCACCCTTGATAGTATCAAACACTCGGAACTGCTTGGTGATGTGTCTGAATGTAAGTTACACCAAAGTATTTATCAAACCTTTTTAGTAGGTACCTCTTTCAATTTAATAAAGTATAATTATGATGATTCTTACTTGTTATAAAATAGTCCATTGCTTGATAAACTTTAAAAGTACTGCACCTACTGCTTTAACATTCTGCACCACCCGGTCGACTGTCAGAGAATGTCTATGGTAAAAGGTCCGCCAATTTCTCAATTTATAAATGTGCAATAAAATTTTAAATCTATATATTTATATATATGTATATCACGTGTGTAAGGCGGGACCTATTTCACTATATTATTTTTTAAAGGTGGTATTTATGGTAAAAAATCGTACAATTAAAATTTTAGACAGGAATTTTATGGAAATAAGACATAGGCTACTTTTTATCCCCCGGGACCGCGGGCGACTCCGCTGACAGAAGCTAGTAAATAAATAAATAGAGTTAACTAAAATCGCAGGTTACCGACGTGAATGTACTGAGAAAAGCTCTAATACTCGACATCGCCGCGACCGCGCACGCTACTCATGAGGAACAACCCCTCTGTGGTTCGAAACTAGTAGAGCTTTTCTCAGTATATTCACGTGAGTAACCCGCGTTTTTAGTTAATTTAGTATGTCTCACGATAGTTATTATAAAAACATAAATAAATAGAGTCTTATGAAGTTTTTACCTGTTGAAAGAGATTTATGTAGGTAGATTTGGTATTATAGCTATGTACCAGCTTGCGGCATGCGGGTGGAAGCCTGGTAGATTGTGTACATTGTGAATGATATTTCTTGTGATATTATTAAAAAGATAGGCAGGCATGTATTCCTGTTATCTATACATGTAATTAAACTGTAGAAGTGTAAATTCTGTACATTGAAAGTATAAAAAAATAAATAGTAAGGGGTGTTACTAGATGCATATACCGAACCCAAAAACGTGTATAAAAAAATTTTTGTCTGTCTATATGTTCACGCATCACGCAAAAACTACCGGTCCGATTACGATGAAACTTCGTATACTTAATTATTAATTATACTTTAGTATCCTGGGCACAACACTGGGTACTTTTTATCCTGAAAAAGTATATACACGAAAAAACAAGCTTAATTGTGCGGCTCAACCCCTAGATAAAGATACTGTACCAAACGCAAATATAAGCGCGCGCTCCTGGAAACGCTTGCGGCGCCGCCGGCAGAAGCTAGTATAAGAATATAAGTAGTATAAGAATTATTCTAAAATGATAAATGTAATTTGGAATATAGTCTATGTACTTGTGTTTCATGAATATGTTTTGCCCAGGCGACAGGGATGATATAACGCGGTATGCTGAGCGGATTCTGGCGCGCGCCATGACGGTGGAGGTGGCCGTTCGTACAGATAGGGATGCACAACAGGAGGAGGCTTTGCATCAGGTGAGCACTGAACCTAATTTTTTTCTATAAACATTCATTATAAGGATCAGCAGAAATTACCTGCTAAGTATGATTATTACTTATTAAACTTAATACTAAATATCAAAAATACTATTAAATACTACAAAATACATCATAAACAATGCTTGGAGATTTATGACCAGAATAAGTGTTTTTAAATTCTTATATTATTATCTGGTCATCTGGTAGTGTGCGACGTTTAGTGGATTCTAATCGTTCGTAAAGATTAAACAAAATTTTGGCACATCTTTAAAGAACAACAAATTAATATGTAAAAAAAGTGGTGCTTGTATTTTGAATAGACAATTTATCATCCCACGACAACTTGAGATAATTTAAACCTTATTTATTGTTTTACGAAATAGATCAAGAGAAAGAAGACGAGCTGTTAACAAAAAATAAAAATGACTAAAGTTTAGTCACCGAAATTGTCTCTTTGTATAAATTGATAGCGATGTACCTATTGTATTGTGTGTCTGCGATATAAGGACGAATTTATATCATCTAAGAATGTAGGTAGTTATTCAATCAATTTCATTCGACGTTTGTGAGTTTTTATTGAACAGATCGACCCACAATGACATATTCTAACCCATAATCGCCTTTGCAACACCCACGCGTGCTCTCAAGCAGATAATCGTTCGGAGAATTACCAGCAAAGTCAATAGGAGCTTAATCTTTTATTGGAAGTGTTTTGGACCAAGTACAACCCTGGTCCTTTGTTCATCACATTCCTATGTTGGATTTCCTACTAAGAATACTTATGTGCTACGAAATTTAAAATGTACAACAATATGTTGTTAAAATAAACGTTATGAAATTACCTATAAGTAATGATAATAGGTAATGATTTTTTAATTTACTTTTTATTATCATCGTCATCATCGAAAGAGGTATGTAAGCATCGTAGCAATTGGCGTTACATGGGAGACAGGCGTGAGGTTATGTATGTACTTATGTAGTTCAGTCATCCACTCGACTGTATTCTCCTCGTACGTGCGCAACTCGAGCTTCCATCGTGCAAAAACATCTTGGACGCAACCGTCACGACAGATACGACCGATACAGCTGACACGACCGACACAACCAACACGATCGATACGACAAATACGACAGGCGCGACCGACACGACACACGACCGACACGACAGATGCGACCGATACGACAGATACGACAGATGCGACCGACACGACAGATACGACCGACACGACTGATGCGACCGACACGACCGACACGACCGATGCGATCGACACGACAGATACCACCGGCACGACAGATGGAACCGACACGACCACAACGACAGACGACTGACACGACACGGCAGACTTTTTTGTACAATATCAAACAGATTCCTGAAAAACCCAACCTTGTCAAACTCTATATAGTACCAATAAACTGTGTGTTCTAAATCAGAGAAATCACTCAACTATACAAATAGAATAAAATAATATAGAGGCGCATATAAATACATATACGTATATACATATAAATTAAATTACTACAATTTGTCTGTTTGTTATATTGAAATAACCGCTTTTTATTACATGTATGTATGAATACACATACGATTAATATACTAAAATAACACTTTTTACAACTTTTGGCTGTCTGTTTGTACTGGCTCTGAACTTTCGTCCCGATTTTTACTGAAATAAATACTTTTACTTTTTAACTAGCTGATGTACTAAGGAGTAACATAGGCTACTTTTGTTTTAGAAAAACGCAAACGAAGTTGCGGGTACAGCTAGGCTATCAATAATCTTTCTTTCAGCAGTAATGGTTGGCGCGGTGGTTGGTCAACTGAGTGCCGTGCAACGTGTCGCGAGTTCGGTTTCCGCTCGGATCAACTCTTTGTGTAGTCCACAGATTATTTTTCTCGATCTGTGTGTCATGTGTATGTGAACTTGTATGTTTGTAAACGCACCCGCGACACAGGAGAAAATTGTAGTAAATAATTAAATAAAATATCTTAAACCTTGATCGAAATATAATGAGATATGTTATTGCTACTCGACACTTTTTAGTTTTATATGTAATCAGATTTCGAGCTGGGGATTTAGTAATCGTAAACGTAACCGAAATATAAGGTACTTTCGTGGATTTAGACATTCAAATCCCTGATTCGGAGCTTACAGTCATTGAGGCAGAATGGTCTACTAATGTTGTAACGAGCTTAACTCAAGATTAAACTCAATGCACGTTTAGAAAATTGTCAAGTTTGTACTGTAATAGTAACCTGACGACAACATAGATTAATGGGAACGAATTATTTGATTAATTGTACGTTTTGAGACTATGGGTCCCCTGCAATGCTCGAAAGTAGTCGAGTTACCTCGTCAAATAGTTAAGTGAGTAAACATAAAACATAATTAATGGTTTAATTTATTTTTAGTACTTTTGGGATAAAAATTAATAATACTGCCTGCTTGAATTAAAAAAAAAATATCTATTTACATCACTTTTAGACCCAATTAAACTTTTGTACAAACGCGTAATTGTGCCGCATGTACAATGACCATAATTTATCAATGCCTCGACCACAGTCAGTCCAATATCGGTCTGTTAACTTCCATTGTGGGAATTGTGAATCGGTATTTGAACGACCAAATTCGTAAACTATTAAAATGACTGTGTACAGAGTTTCTGACTTCAATAGCCAATAGGTATAGTTTTATTTAACTAGTTTTGTTTAAGGAAACATTTACAGCAGTTGAGGAAAATTGTATTTTTTGTATTAAAGAATTAATTAAAATTGCAATTTTAAATGAAGCATTGTGTGAATGAATTGTTTAAAGCGGAAGAATTGGGTTGATTGTTTGTTTTAATGCGTTTGTCCTCGATAATGTTTTCCGAAAAATAAATTGCTGTTTTTAGGCTTTTTTCTAGAAGACTTTAAAAGGTATTTGCGATACGATAGGATATAAGGTAACATACAATACTACATCTGACAGCTGCATTACGCTCGCGTCGTCGTTAAATAAATTAGTTATTACGGGCCCCTAACGTGGTTTGAAAGTCGTCGAGTCTCTCGTCTTACGGTAGTTATAACTTACAAGCTACTGCCACGCGGTTTCACCCACTCTGCTCGGCGCCTATTGATCGTAGCGTGATGTTTTATAGCCTGTATCCTTCCTCGATAAATGGACAATCCAAAATGATTTTTTCAAATCAGACCAGTAGTGCCTGAGATAATTCAAATAAACAAACTCTTCAGCTGAGTTTAGTTTTCAATATACATAGTATAAAACAAAGTCGCTTTCGCTGTATGTCCGTATGTATGCTTAGATCTTTAAAACTACGCAACGGATTTTGATGCGGTTTTTTTTAATAGATAGAGTGATTCTTAAGGAAGGTTTGTATGTATAATACATGCATATTGCACCCGTGCGAAGCCGGGGCGGGTCGCTAGTATTATATAATATAAGATAATGCAATGCTTTCAGTGGATTCATTGTAAAATGTGTCATTTCATTATTATTTAAATTTAATTTTGAGTATAACCACATAAAATCTTTAATTTCCTCGCGTTAAACGTGAGCTATATTACGTTCTCATGTACCTATTTGTAATTGTCCCTGACTTACTGCCGTTTTCGACTTCGTGGTCAGTATTAAATGTCAGCGGTTTTACCACGGAAGTTACTCTACAACTTTAGGTCACCCATTTTTTGTTTTAAACCAGGTACCATTAAGTTTATTTTTGAGTTTTATTGTTCACACGTAATTGTTAGAGCCGAGCCGAGAGTTTTACTTTTTTATTTATTGTATCATTATCGCGCTTTGGTTTGGCGATCATAGACATAAAATTTGTTTTGCCTACCATATAAAATTATATATTTTTTAGCACGTCTTTAAGGACTTCAAATATACCTTTTAGCTACCATTTAAAAATTGATCTACTGATACTTATTATAGCTTACCAATGATTGTTCAGTCAGTCAGCAATAAAACAAAATGTCTGTATAATATATCAAGGTTGTTTTCGAGCTCTTTTTTACTGAACTGCAATTCTAAGTAGCATTTATACACAATGACTTTAAGATTTAGATTTTATCTTATTGGTGGAGCTTTTTGTAAGTAAATTGTATCAAAAATACCATTGCATGTTTGATTTCCTGGTTTAATCGTATTAAGTAATGTTGAGCAATAAGGGAGACCTCTTGCTCTTACGGAATAACTTTAATTAAGTTACTTACTTATAGGGCGAGGTGTCATACACTACAAATTGATCAACCTATTTATTGTTCTAAGCAAAAACATTTTGTATGCCCAAGAGGAATTACCTTGTTTGTTAGTCAATGCCTGGGGTAAAAAGAAGTATAATTAAGATTTATCGAAACTCAGTAAATTACAGAGTTTGAAATTGATGGCCGTGTTATGTGTTTAAAGACCTCTAAAACAATCTAATCATTGAACTTGACAAATAGTTTCCAAGTTACGTATCTAAACTTATTTATCCTACTAGACACGGTTGTAATTAATTAACAGAAAAACTACTAACATTCGAACAATTTATGATATGTCACGACATTCCTCGGACAACATTAACTAATCAATTAATGGTTTACAGCACACAACAGAGGCCTTAGTACAAGTTTGTCTTACGTTTAAAGTAATCGAAACGAGTACGCATTCGGCGCTCTGATTGGCCGGCTCCAATGGACCAACCAATCAGGAGCGCCGAACGAGGTTCCGTTTCGATTATTAAACGTAAGACAAACTTGTAATAAGACCTCTGTTCAATATGGACGGAATGGACATTTTATGGCACTAACTAACGTCATACATGCAACTCCAATTACAAGTATATTAGTTTGCGTAAGAACAAATGTCTGTTTAGTATCTATCTAAATGTCTAGGATTGTAGGATGTTTTCCTCAATTTAATCTAATCACTATCTTGCTAATGTTTTTAATGGATACAAACATAAATGTTTTGCAAAATGTCGTATAATTGTAAAGTGCAATATTATGCAGTTTAGTATCCAAATAAAACAGACAAAAATATTTAAATATAAACACATACATGTGATGGTGGTTGTGCGAATAACGTTTGACACTTAAAAATCGTTTTTCTGATAGGAGATAACAAAAAAGTCATTGTTCAGACCGAATGGTTTTGGATATGTATGTGCTTGTAGATTTCCAGACTAGATTCACGGTAGAGTAAGCGGTAACACAAAGAAAACGCCTATTGCCAAAGTACAAAATGCTGAAATGCCATAGTTATACTGTGATGTCGCTGTCGCTGAGAACCTAACGGGTTACCGGGGCTCCGGCTCGAAGCGCAGGAGAAGGAACGGGGTGGTTTTTAGTCAGTAAGAGTCTGACACTCCCCTTCCCGCCTCGCCCAGGTGGGAGCAGCCATTCGATGATTTTCCCATCTTAAAAAAAATACCGTGGTACCACATATACACAATTGGTATGACGTTTCATACCAAACACTCATACAGAATTGACTAAAGAAACACGTGTTCTTCGAACTCGATTAAAGTGTAAGTACTTACTTAACGATCGCATTTATGCCCACTAGCAGGCGCCTAGACACATCCATTATAAATAAGACGGAGAAATATTCTACCAGGCACCAGCCTTAATCACATATTTTTGGCCTTGAATGCCAGAAGCTTTTCTTTTCTTTTACATAGCTGTGAACCTAGTTATACCGATATAATCAGCCTAAAGACGTCGACTACTGAATATATTATGCAAGTCCTACTTCATAAAGGAGTTCGACTGTGCGACTTGGGGATCACAGTTAGGTTACCGAACATTTAAAAGATACTGTTGCGTACACCAGTAGGTAGTCGCTGTTCTAAGAAATTGTCTGGTGCAGATTTAATTTAGGGTTGCCACCTTTATTTTTGGTATTTAAAGTACATTGACCATTAAAGGTAAGAAAAAAGTACATAGTCTAGAAATAAAGTACAATTTATTCTTATTTAGTATTATATTTAAAAAATTGCAAAAATAAAGTATTTTCGTGTACTTTATTATTGTCGTAAAGTATAGAGTACAATTACCTTAAATAACGTATAATAATTTATTATAAAGTACGTGTGGCAACCCTAATTGAATTGTATGCCTCTTAACTGCCTGTACAGAATTTTAATTGGCAACTTGTCTACGTGAACATTAATCGACTGTAGCTTTTAGTACCTACCTAATTATTAATTAATTACCGACTAATACAAAGGCGTAAATGATCAGAAGGCTCATTTCGAAGTTTTTAAATTTTCTATCGACAAACCTTTTGCTGATAAAAGTTATTTTAAGGAACTGGCGTTCTCTTTAGTATTTCGTACGACAATAAGAACAGTTTGCAAGATGCACTAAATTGGAATGTGCATAATATACTTATTCAGAATCGTTGACAAAAATATAAATATTTCCGTAGTAACGCAACTTACCTGCAAAAAATATTCGACATGGTGCAGAGTGGAGTAATATCCTCACCTCATATTAGGCACTTAAGATTCTATACATTGAATGTACCTTCTGCAGTTGTCTACGCAATGATAAATGTTAGTCATAACAAAAAACAGAACAACAATGACATAATACTCAAACGGGTGCGATGTCCTCTGCAAACTCAGTCGACCATTGTTTATCTGTGAACATTTGCAAATTAGATGGTTGCGTGTTTACAATGGCGCTTAAAATTAAATCATAAATGATACTTATTTCATTTGATGCATTCGGTGTGTGGATAACGGGGGGGGGCTACTTAGTTCAGCTGTAGTCCCTTTTGGCTGATGATGATGACTTATTTCATTAAAAAAATAGGTTTGTTTGGCTTCGTGGTACTTGATTTGATGTTTATTTATTTGTTAATGTTTCATCGTTATGAGCACAAGGCTTCAGATGAAGTAAAATATTCGATCCAAAAATCGTATATGATTATTTTTAGGTGACTTTAGGTCTGGCAACAAATTGTTAAAAAAGGGTTGCAAAAGCTTATTGTTTTTAGAACATATGTAAAATACGATCTAAGTAATAAATGCTTCTATTTTATTGTTATTTTGCCGTTTTGAAATGACAAACAAACAGTTCCAACCACAACATTATCAGTTTTTGTGGTCTTCTGATCTTAGGAGGTCAGGCAACTTTTGAGCAGTATAACAAATGATTGTAAAAGTGTGTAGCAACATAATTTGGTGGCGTCTGTTGATTTATAACAACTCAACAACAAACTTTATACAATATACTCTTTATAAAATAATGGCTTCATTGTGGGTGACTGAAATAACATTTTATAATTAGCTCCAATACGTCATTTTATTCTTTTTAGTTTACGTAAGTTGCTATATTGGCTCTTGGCAGTAAACGTAATAAACTTAATGTTCCATAAACGTTTTTTTTCAGTTCCCAGTAGTGAGCATATCATTTTAATTATTTTTCTTTTTTTAAATATTTTATGACTTAAAACATATCATAGTATGCCTTTTATTCTTTAAGAGACTGGACAGAGGTTTTTTTAAAAGAAACCCGTCTACTCGTTTGCCTCCTATTCCATAAAAGAAAAATACTCGAAAAAATCTAAAATGTCTTCATAACCTAACCAACCATTCTCCCCATTCCAGGTGAACATGTACATAGACCAGCTGGTGATGACGGTGCACGACGACGCGGTCATCGCTCACACTCGCTGCCAGACCTTCATGAACGCCTGTACATCTCAACCAGACCCATCGTCGGGCACAGATAAGAACTTCGAGAGCGCCATCTTGGGCTGCACTTTAGATGATCAGAAGCGAGTAAAAAAACGTCTCCAAGGCCTCCTGGATTACTTCGCCAAGTTGAATGTAACCACCTGTTCGTGAGTAACCGCTATGCTTGACAGCAAACTTGTCATTCACTGAGTCTGTACCAGCTTCGCGTTTATTTGGACTGCCTGAGAGCGCGGTGCCTATCGTGCAAATGTAACTGCAAGACTGTCACTGTCGAATTGTATGTATCATCGTTTGTTTGTGATTCTGATTAGAGTTCTTCCTTTCATATAGGGAAAATTGTTCTAAATTACCTTTTATATAACCGTCATAAAAATACGCTAGTGTTAATAATGTCTTAGTAAAGTAGCAATTAAATGCTTGTAATGAATCCTTTGTATCAACTTAAGATTTTCCGCTTGACTTAAAAACAGATCAACCATAACCTACAATACAAGAAAGTAAAGAAGTCCCATCATTAATATTACAATGTTCATAAATGAAATGAGAAACGTATAGTCTGGAACTAATTATGAAAATAATATGAAACATGTTTTTGATTTTTTTTCTAATTTGGGCATTTTCAAGGTAGTTTGTAATCGAATTTGAACTCAACAGTATTTATTAGTAATATCTTTTTTCTTGTAATTGGTCTCGCCTTTGTTAGTTTTTTTTCTTTTTCTTGCTACGTGACAGAGAAGGATTTGTTATACAAACACTATTTATTTGCAAATTAATGATTTACATTGTAATGGTAAAAATGATTAAGTAATTAATAAATTCATGTTTCTTATTTTTTTTATGAATGTATGTCAATGTATGTGTGTTTCTAAATCGCTATAAATGTATTTCTGTCTCATATATCTCCATAATAAACGATAAAGACAGATATAATCTTAAGTAATACATTTACGATTTATGTAAAATTCTCTCATTGAAAGGCACCTCCGTTCTTTAGGCCTCCTAGGTTTTGATTTAAAGCTTTTTTAAATGTGATATGTATATTATAATTGCAGTCAACTAATACATAGTACACTGTTACTCCAATATCAGCCTTATTGCATTACAGTAAGGTCGATATTGCATTGTGCTATGGATTTGGTTGTGTTTTTTTTTAGTTCCACTGCCTTTTACAATAGGATTTCTAACTTAAATGGACCATTACTATTAGTACATTTACTGTTTACGCTTAGTAGTTCCATATATTTCTGTTTTACTTTAGGCCAAGTTTTGGAGCGTCTAACGCGCTATATCGCTGTCATTATAATTTGTACCCTTTGTTTAGGTCATAAGTTTTATATTGCATTGAATGCGCGCTTCACATACTAGTGTGAAGTGTTTCTTTGAGTTGTTCTGTCAAATTGGTCAATTCTTTTGTATGACAGTTGTCAATAATCTGCCTCTATCTCTTTGATATTCCATTTTTAGTGTCCATTATTGTTATGACTAGTCAGTCAAGGAATAGTCACTTCTTGTATGCCACATACATACATATATTCCTCTCTTTCTACTTTAAGGCAAGAGTGATACTCTGCTCTAGACCGATCTTTATTGTTAGAAAGAGATGGCAATAGTATAGTTTGATTGCAAGAGAATTGTCAATTTATTGTAATAAATTAGTTGTATGGTATCGTACCATAATACTTAAACAAATATCAGAATAATAATGATTATCGAATTTTCAGTGTTTCAGTGTATGTAAAGTTATTTTAAAAGCCTTTTCCATATTAGCACATGTTTCAAAACACTTCTAACCATCTAAACATTCCTGTTTTTGTAAAGGAAACTATTACTTAAGATTGATTTTTACCATCCCTTCCCTACGTTTCGTGCAATCGATTTTGAACTCTTAACCCTTCAGTATAAAACTCAAAGTCCTCTGGATAATATGTATTTGGTTCTGCTTTTAATATCATCTTTATACTAAAGGAATAGAAATCAAATTTGATTGCGTTAATGTTGTAAACAGATTGTTTGATATGTGTTCTTAAATGGATAAGGGTTTAAGTTCTTTGCACCGTGTAATAAGAGGCTCAATTTCAATGGTTTATGAAAAAAAAATTATAGTCATTATCAAGATCGCTGTAGCCATTTTTTCAAGTGGCCAGTGTTTTTGACACTGAGTATACAGTTTTTTTCTTACAGTTCGCAAATAAGTTTTTTTAAGCCTTAAGAAGGTTCTGGTGAGTTCGTTTTTTAAGATTTATATATAAAAAGATAATTTAAAAAATTTATGTTGATTGATTTTAGTTTTTATTAAAATTTATAGTACCTAATACTATTTATCACATTATCTATAATAAATTCATGTGAATAGTAAATTATCGTTATTAGTTAGCTTCTATATATCGAATCTACTACTCTAGTAGGTATATTTTGATATGTAACTGTATTTAATTTAAAAAATTAATCCTATTAGGATAGATATGTGACTTTGTAAAAGTATATACGTTAGTACATAATATTGTATTGTACTTACTACACTGAATGGAAACAATGCTCAATTGCGTATGATGATTCTAATTAACAAATTACTAAAATGATTTCTTTTTTTGTTGAGGCAAAATTTTTCCAAAGTGACAGTCAAACCAGCAGCTGTAGCCAAATGCCATTTATCGCTTGTCTACATGTAGAATAGAAAACCAAATTATATGGAATTGACGTAAATTTTGACAATAATTGTCAGTGTCATATACATACATTAAGTTTTTTACTCTCTCGGTAGACAAGCGCTAAAGTGGCATTTGGCTAAAGGCACAGGCTGGCACACTGAGTAAAACAAAATTGTACATTATTGTTAAAGCTTCTATCTGGATAACCAACAATTAGTTTGTTCGGCTAATTAACCTTAACTCTAAAATGTCATTGCCAAAAAATCTTTATATTCCAAAACATTTTTTTTCATAGTGTGAAAGGCCTAATATTGAAATCTTTGTATTGTAACTTTCGTGAGACATACTAAATATATTATTATGTTTTCGGCTTACTCACGTAATAATTTGACGAGGAACTCGACTAGTTTCAAGCCATGCTAGAGGCTCATATTCATGAGCAGCATTTCGCGACCCGCGACTCGGCGACTGTCGCGTTCCTACGGTCTAGTCTAGTCGTGTTCCTCGTCAAATTATTACGTGAGTAAGCCGAAAACATAATAATTTATTTAATATTGAAGTCCTTATGACAACATGAAAGTATAACGCCCCCTTACCCGTCCTTTTAAAGACATTGTCAATTATATACCCCAGCATATACCACCTACATCGAATCGCCGAAACCTCAACATTCTAGTTAGACAAAAATATACTTTATTTACTTTTATATTGGTTTTATATTCGTAAATCATCACCATCACAATAGATAGTAGATAATCAAACAAATTAATGTGTTGCTTGTGTATGAGTGCTTAAGGTTCATTTTCCAATGTAAACTATTCTGTAGTACTTACTATTGTTTAAGTACAATCCGACAGTCGGCAGTGATCGAGTTTTAGAAAGAGATAATCGGATAGCTTCGGTTGTTTAGTGCCTTCTCTATACATAATGAGAGGGCACGTATGAAACGAAATATATGGATGAGGAATTGTGATTCAGAAATAAATTAAGCGGAAGCTAACCAATTCGTCTCAGGCTCGTCTACATGGCCCATGAACCATCCAGTATGTCATCTATAAGTGGTCCTACAAATTGATGGATGATTCGCTGGTTGCAAGGGCCTGCTGGTTACTGTCTCTTAATTAATTACGGTTAGCCTGTAAAGTCAGCTTAAGGTGGATGTGCACTTATTATAAATAGTGGAAAACCACAAATGTGAACAAATTCGGCTGTCATGTACTATAGCCGTTTAGTAATAGACATTTAGCCTTAATCTGAAGATCTCTTGTGTACAGGCACTCATACATTTTGTAAAATATCATTATATAGTGCCTGATGTTGTAAACGACATCTTAGATGTACAGGGTGTCGTGAAATGCAGTGGTGCTGGTTGTATTCGCCAGGTTCACACATTCTGTATTTCGTAAAGTGTCGTAGGATTTTGTAATGTAACGTCATTGTGTATTTTTCATTGCATTTTTAGTACATTAGCAATTTATTGAACAGTTAGTTATTTACATGTCATAGGCTTCTTTTTGAATACATACCGTAATGTATAATCTTATTTGTTGTTTTTAATTTTAGATTAAGACTTTAAAAGTTAAATTTATCCCATAGAATGATGAATACGTGGATTGTCTTTTTTATGGAATAGGAGGAAAACGAGTAGACGGATCACTTCATGGTAAGCGATCAGCGCCGCCCATGGACACCCGGAACATGAAAGGAGTCACAAATGCGTTGTCGGCCTTTTAAAAAGGAATACGCTCTTGATTACAGTGAAACAACAAGAATATTTGCAAATAATTTATTTTTTTATAAAATGAATAGTTAGATAAGTACAAAATATTTACATAGCTTTGTTATTTCAATATCAACTAACTAAAAACATTAAAATATGACTAAACAGCTTTTTTATCGACTAAGTTAAGGTTGTCATTTAATGCACTTGGAATTATAGATTTGAGTAGGATTTAGCATTTTTGATATTCATCATCCTTTGTCTTTGCCTATAAAAGCACTATGAAAGATTTTTAAGACTGAACTAGGTTTTTACAATTTTGTGATCAACAGATGGAGCCACATGCGACAAAAAACGTGTCAAATTTATTATGATTTTTTTAAATGCCAATAACTTGATTTTGGTCCTACGGTCTTAGGTTTATCTTCCTTATAGTGGCCTTAATTACTTCTTTTTACATTTTATTCTAGTATTTTTTTTAATTTAGATTCAAATATGAGGCTGTGACCAACAACTTGATGCCGAACGGAAAAAATATTTTCTAGGACTTAACAAATTTCAGAACAGTTTATTGTTATCGTTTTTAGAGGTTTTTGAAACACTATTATAATTACAAAATACAGCGTTGAGCAGGTTTAAAGAAGGGTCTGATAATCACAGTAGTCTGCAAGCGTTTCTTAGGACATTCTTCTTTTTGCCGCCCGGCCGATGTTTCGTTGGCCGCAGCAGAATTGTACCGTTACTGTTGTGGTTTGTAAATGTTCCTGAAAACGAATTTGGACTTGAATTAGTTGTTGCGTAACGATTCCAGCTATAATGTATTACTACTAAATTAAAATTGTCCATCTATCTACCTAATCACCATCTCAAATGTGTGGGCTTTTAAAGCATCTTTTTAGCACGTTAAAGCCATGTGAACATTAGCCACGGAGGATTTGCCCTCATACTTTTCTGTCGTCAGTTTCGGCAGTTGAACATAAAATATGATACCTTGTTTCAAAATAACATTACTTAATTAATCAAAAGGAGCATATTACCTATGACGGGTTGTTGGCACGGCGGCATTGTGTCGGCATCATCACGCCGCATATCTGACAGACACCGTGCAGCTAAAGCTCTGAACACGGCTCCAACATTAACGTCTTCTTTTACTGACGCACGCATTAACCGACAGCCTAGTGCTCTTGCTACTAGCTCAGCTTCATCTCTGGGAAATAAAAAATAAATTGTAGTTAGCTATACTCAAATATGCAGACAAGTTGTCTCTACTTATTATACCGCTTTTGCGACTTCGCTTAGCCGTTTGACCAATTGCGTATTGCACATTTTTCGTGGGATCTCAGGGCACCAAATAATGCGGAATAAAAGAGCGTTTTAATTTATTACGAGTATTAAAAACAAAATTGGAGTAAAACTTTAGTTAAAACTGTCCAAATCAATGAGTGTTTCCCAAGGCGCTATAATGGGACCACCCACAGTAGCAAGTTAAATTACATCCGCATTGTAGCGTACTCTAATTATTTACATAAATAAGTATTGTTATCGTCAATAATTCCCTAATATAAAAAAAAACATGTTTACACATGTACGTTTATTACGTTTTAGTTGATTACAATACATGTACTTACGGTCCAACGACGCATTGATCCATTAAATCAATTTTATTTTGAACTATGATCGTGGGTATCTCCCCGCACTCATTCTCCACCTGGAACATGTAAAAATACACTTTTACTCTTTGCACTTCACTTGAAATAAATTGAACGATCACATTATTTACCTATTCCACGAAGATTTCATAACAAAAATAATAATTCATTTTATTTTCAATTTATTTTAATAAGTAGACAGTTTATGAAATTAAAACATTTATTTATAATTAATATCTTAATGGACAATCCGGGCTGCCTTCGCGTCCACTCATGATCTCTATGCTGTTCACTATGGATTGCACTTCAGAAGATGACGGCAGGAACTTTGAGTACAATATTCCTCGTCCGCCAGCTGAGCAATTGATTCCCAAAATGTAGTTTGCGTTCACTTTCTTAAATATGTATTTGGCTACAGGTTTATCACAGGAGCGATACATTTGTTTCACTTCTGCTTCTCCGTAGTAAAGCAGACTGACTCTCTTGCCGGTGCTGTTGGTGTAAGTCGCCTTTATCACAGTCTCGTCCAAGTCGTAAGGGTTACTGCAGTCGTCCGTTGTTTCTTCATCTTCTGGCACCTCCGCAAAATTGATAACTACGCAGCTGTCCCGTTGCCTCTGTCTTGGTGGCCAGTAGTACACTCCATGCATTTGTGCAGGCAACTCCTTCAAGTCAAAATTTTCTCCGGTCGCGTAGTACCGTATGCAGAATAATTCCCTGTTTCCATAATTTATCGAATTTACGCTACACAGCAAATAAAGGAACGTGAGAATGAATGCGTGGTACCCGTGCATCTTCACAATTAATTATTAGATTTGAGCTGAATGTATCCGGTCCAAATATAGCCGGTCGAATGTAAACAGTCGATGTGCGTTACTTGATAGCAATGAGTAGATAGTACGCGGTGTCGGTACATGGCGGCTGTGTGAGCGAGTCACGACCTCACTCTTATCTTAATGTGCTGCTTCAATTAACTAAATACCTAAGAACTGGGGACTGAATTTTAAAAGCTAGCCATTAAAATGTATGCTTTGAAGATTTATGTTCTGATTATTTGGTTTTTAAGCAAATTCTAATCCCTAATACTGAGATCTGATAGACAGCAGCAGTTGGTAATATAAGTAGAAAATATTAACATCTCTCCGGCTACATGACTGGGTCGCTATAAACGTGGTGCAAAAAATGTTCTGTATAATAAGCAGAACAAGAAACATTAGCATGTATGTAGGTACACTATGTGTGTAGTATGTACCAGCTAGTTAACAGGGTCAGATGCGGCCAATGACCAATGTGCTTGTAATACCTACTACACTAACTATCGTATAAGTTGCATAAGATTATCTTTTCTTGCCAAATGCTCGCAGGGCAGCCACATTTACATTTATATTACTTGTAAGCCGAGCTAAATTGAATCAATTATCTTGGAACTTTATTGGGCTATGTATCGATTGTTAAATAGATTATTCAGTCACAAAGTTACTACGCAGAAGCTTTTAGGTACATACAACCAATCCATCTTCTGATTACGAACACTCGAAAAAAATCCTAGAATCCTACACATAAAATTAGGGGATGCTTAACCTGTAGTGCTAAATGCTGTGCTCTCACCTTGAGTTTCCATGAATGTAGTGAGAGGAAGGAGTCTCGGTCCGTGGTGCTGAAGGCGAGCACGCATGCGTGTGCGCCGCGGTAGTACGCCTTTGTGATGGCATCGAACTCCTCCTGTCCCGCCGTGTCCCATAGCATCAATCGGACTTCCTCGCCGTCGATCCTGAAGATGGATAAAAAAAGAATAATTATTTATTTTTAAGGGAGAGTATGGCAATGTGTTTTTTATAATTTTGTATGATAATTTCGCTACAGGCTGGTTCTTAAAATCAGCGCCGTGACTCGAGCAATCGCGCTCGTGACACGGCATTTTAGCTGAGTGCTGGCCTTTTTGCACCGTGTAGGTATAGTGTTCTGCTTTTTTTTAACTATTTTTCTTTCTTTTTTCATTTAAATGAGACTATAGATTAGCTGATGGTAAGTAATCTGAGCTGCCCATAGACACTCGCAACATTAGAGAGATTACAAGTGCGTTACCGACTGGTCTTCGGTGCGACAACTTTACTCACACGACAATAGAGCTACAACGCACGTTATTCCACGTCGGTTTTCAGTGAGACTATTATCATGCCAGTCGAGCCTGTTCGCTCGTGCCGAAGCATGGTTCTCCTACGTGAAAAGGTAGACTTGTCTAGTTTTCTTTCCAGTAGTTACCAGTAACACCTCGATATATGGAATCGAAGCTTAATATAATAACTATCGTGAGACATACTAAATTAACTAAAAATCGCGGGTTATTCACGTGAATATACTAAGAAAAGCTCTACTAGTTTCGAACCACTGAGGGGTTCTTCCTCATGAGCATTGTGCGCCTTCGCGACCGCGCACACTAATAGAGCTTTTCTCAATATATTCACGTGAGTAGGTATGCGATTTTTAGTTAATCGAAGCTTAATTTTAATTTGTACTACTGAATTGATAATTTTTACGCTCACGCTCATACTTCATACTCATTACTTCAATTTCCTTATTATTGCAATGTTACTGATAACGTAATATTATTTCTTTAATAATTTATCTCTACTTATATACCTACTTATGGAATGTAGGTACATTCTGCAGAACATCTGTAGGTACAGTATAGAAATTAGTGGCTGTTGACTTTGTCATCAATTGAGGAAGAAGCTGTCTGATTTAATGGAACTATCATGGACTTAATGAGACACCTTCAATTAATTCGATTACTAGCCATTTCCTTCACCCGATGTCAGGATAGCATCAATCCTGGGACCACCGCCACGACGCCTGCCTGATTACTCTAATTAGACCCCGTACTTCAGAACTACATGACATCAAGGCATATCTTAGTTGTAATTAAAGGCACATCACGTGTAATTATCAGACTTCCTCTCTGTGATCACTTCATTATTTTAATCATCGTTCCTGTAGGGTTGTTAATCAAGTTAAAGAATGCGGTGGCAAGTTTGTTGTGGGTATCATTGTAAACTGATGCATCGATTTTGATAAAGTTTGACCAGATGGTATAGCTTAAATTATTCTCATACAGAACAGAATAAGATTTCTTCATTTTCTTCTAAAATATGGATTAGGTATTTTAGTCCTCGATGGGGTAAATAAAAGTGGGCTTAATTATTAATTAAATGTAACATTATCTGTCATGTTAATGATAAAGCATACACGACGAAGACTTATTGCCATACACATGTACACCAGCTGGAGTCACAGACAATAATAAATCGATTTGACTTGAATTTGAATCGCAAAATCCACGAGTATTACATAGCTAACTTATTCACAGATAATAAATGAGTTATTTTGTTTTGGCAATCTAGAAAAGAGGTTAGGTTTCATTCGGGGTTATCTAGTCAGGATAGCATGGCACATTTTTAAAAATGATACTGAAACAGCAATGACTATGTCGTGTGTGCGTACGCATAAGATTAATGAAATTATATTTTAATGTTATTTGTATAAAAGTTCGAGGTCACAATAATATTTGTGCATTGCATACGAGATAATTGAGCCAGTTTTTAATTTAATTAGTCATAATAAGATATTATTTTTGTTTGAATTATCTGAATTATTTTAATACGCATTAACAAACTAATTGTTAATGCACAACTATGTATACAATTACTAAAAATGTACTCTACTTATCAACTGAATCTATCCACATTAGCTTGGGACCCATAACTTCAATTCCTATTGATTACGAAAATGTGAGAAATGTATCTACTAACTTTGAATACCTACTTCACTATCATTTTTCAGGGAGTAGCGCTATGATAACGATATTACTATTACAGGATCAGGGCCTCATTGAGGGAAACCTTATACAACGCGGGCGAAGCTGTTGACTGGAGGTGGAAAATGACTGGAAAACCACACAAAGGTGATGACTTACTCAATCTGTCTTTCTAAGAAGTCGACTCCAATAGTCTTCTTGTAGTCCCTGGTGAAGGTGCCGCGGCAGTACCGCTGGATCATGCTGGATTTGCCCACGCCGCCGTCGCCCACGATCACCACCTTGAGGGCCACCTCCAGGTCCTCCTCTCGCATCGCGCCACCGCCCACCCAAACATTAGTGGTCACTGCTTTCGTGCTGGAAAAAAGATAGTACGATTAAGAAAAATATTATGGCATAAAAGAGATTCAATATGGCTTTAAAAGGTAGGTAGAAAGCAGTGCTGAAATATGGAAAGTTTCTTATTTAAAATAAATATAGTTAATTCAAAATAGGGCCCGTGAGCATACAATAAACACTAGACACAATCTCAGACCCGAGACTCCCTGATATTAGCAGAGAAATATCAATTATCGAAAACTTAAAAGTATTTTTTCTAAGATAATGATTACAAAGGTTAAAAATTGCACTATCCAAAGTAATAGTCTATGATCTGAACTAATGTATAGACTGACCAGAAATATAATAAACCTGTCAAGAGGTTGCTTTCGTGTTTTAAAGGCTAAAGGTTTTGAAAATCAGACTGACTTTAGAATAAACCTTGAAACCACTTTGTGAGCCAATCATACCTACTTGCGACTGCAGTACAAGACAGTCTAATAAATAAAATCATCTAATATCATTATGCAAATCAGCAGCTGCGAGTAAGATATATTGCTACTGCAATTATTTAAGGCGCTAAACGTAGCACTAACATTTTGTTTTGTATGCACAATTTCTTACCGAAGTACTCGGTCTATACATATAGGTAATAAAACTAGAAATGTAAATTCTGTACAAATAAATAGTAGGGGTGTTACTAGATGGACCCTGAACCAAAAATGTGATTTATAATGTTTTTTTACGCAAAAACTACTGGTCCGATTACGATGAAACTTGGTATAGTTATACTTTAATATCCTGTGCATCACACTACTTTATATCCCGAAAAAAGACACACCAAATAATACAAACTTAATTGTGCGGCTCGATCCCTAGACATAGTTGCTGTACCAAACGCAAATGTAAGTTTGTCGAATGTTAGGTTGCGCGCAGTGGACTTTACGCTGTAACTGTAGGACCAATGGTTGAAATTAGCTTAAACCAATATTATTAATGCGAAAATATGAAGTTTGTTTGTATGTTTGTTACTCAGTCATATCAAAACGAGTGGAGGAACCGCGATGAAATTTGGATCAGAAGGTAGAATATGGTCTGAAGATATACAGGCCCATAGAAATATCTTTAATATATCTGTGGTCTGAAGTAATACTTAGGCTAGGTATCCTACTTTTTACTCCTAGGAACGCGGGCGCGAATCTGCTGGCAGAAGGTAGAATAGAATAATTGTGATTTGAAAAAGTACCATATAATGCGAGAAATCTATAGAAACATTCAGTAATATGAATATGACAGGTAAGCCATTAATTTGTTACAAAGTACACAAGTGACAGCGGTTTTGTATCAAACTTGTTTTACAAAATGAAAAACAACAACGTAATTGGTCCGTGACCATAAGCGCCGTATTCAGTGACTCAGAGGCGCCTTAAAACACACCAACTCAATGCGATCCCTTCAGCAGTACATCAAGTGCTAAGTGATAGGTCTCACCAAAATGGGAGGGTTTTAAATGGATTTTGATATTTATGGCAGGTTATTTTTAAAGATAACAGTTTTGTTGAGTGTTTTTTTGGTTTGAGATACGGGACAAGGTTTATTGAGGGCTCGCATGGAGTACATTTGTACTGATCACTGTAATTTTTTTCTTTTGGAATAATCCGGTAAACGAGCAGACGGATCACCTGATGGTAAGCAATCGCCGTCGCTCATGGACACCCGAAACACCAGAGGTGTTACAAGTGCGTTACCGACTTTTGGGGGATTAGGAATTTGAGGATTGTTGGGGATTCGGAGTTTGGGGAAGGGGTAACTGGGCCTCTGGTAACCTCAGTCAAGTGACGAAATATAATTTATGTGTTGTTTCACGTTGGTTTTCTGTGAGGCCGTATCACTCCAGTCGAACCGGCCCAATCGTGCCGAAGCACTGTCCCACACGTAAATATTTAAGTTCCCTTAAGGCATCTATCTATGTAGATACCTATTATGTATGAAGTATGAAAGTTGTTAAATTCGGGTAACTTGAGCTACATTTTCTTCATTTATCAATAGTTAGCTCATCGTACCTATCCTTTTGCGTGTTGATTACTGTTGACAACCAAGGTTATGGCTTTTTGTCCCCGATCCTACTGAGTCCCAACTTTTGCCCAAACTTTCAAAGTTGCGATCAGTTATGTACTTTCACTTTCCAATGATACCACACGATTAGCTCAAAGATTATATTTTACAACATTTTTTTAACTAAGATACAAATAGATAAAGATTTCAAATGAACGATATCCATTACAATTGAAGAAAACCATCAAGAACCATTAATATTATTCTCATTACGATCTAGACTTGAAAGTATCGAAAATTGTGAGCAAGCAATCATTAAGCCGTTCAGTCGGAAATCGTCTGCCAATATCTAGGTACTTAGTTGTACGTTCATTTGTTCACTTGCTGACCAAGACTGCATGACTGACGGTTCACATTTCGTTAAATCATTGTAATTTTACTTTCGACGCATTCCGCGTTTCTCCTGACGACCGTCGCGTCGCCGTCCGTGTTGGCGTTGGCATCGAATTCCGCCAACTCATGCAAGCAGATGAGACTCGTAGATTATGTCAATATTCGCAGAATTCTCGTTTTTCTCTGTAGGTAAGTCTTAGAACCGCGGGAAGTAGATTTACGATATGTGCAGATGATATATCAATATTTTAACAGTAAGTGAGTAACTGGGTAACTTTAGTTTGTAAATATCCGGCAGCGTTTTCCTTTTTTTTGAAACTACTCTCTAAATATCCTTGGCTTAGCATTTAACAGTTAGCAGTCGTAGGACTTACGGGTTGCCGGGGCTCCGGCTTAAAGTGTAGGAATAGGAACGGGGTGGTTTTTAGTCAGTAAGAGTCTGACACTCCCTCCCGCCTCATCCAGGCGGGAGAAGTCATTCGATGATATTCCACTATAAAAAAAAAGAAAGACAGGCAGTTAGACACTGTTAATAAAATAAAGATTATTTTCATTTGATTATGATTATTTGGTTGACTTTACTCATTTTAATGATTGGACTTTACAATAAGTTCAGGTCATAATAATGACCTCAATTATTTTATTTTGATTGTAACAATTTCATTTTGACTTTTATTTATTAATTTAAATTCGATTATATGCATGCGATGATATACATTTTAATTACCTACCTACAAGATATTTGATGATAAAATGTCAACTTTATTTTTAAAAATGTTAACTTCAACCAAATGTTGCTGTGCCCTTACGGGGTCCATAAATGTAACTTAGTTAGCCTTAAGCGTATTGTAACACCTTATTCACTTTATGGTATGCAAATAAATCAATATGAACATGAAAGTTACAACTAAACTTTTGATGAAATTTGTTGCCGTAGTATAATAATCTTTCTTCTAAGGACCTGTACCTACTATCACCAAGGTGCTGACTTTTCCGACCGTAAAAAATGTTTGGTAATTTAGTTGTTTTCATTGCAGGAACGTCAATAAAAAAGACAGTTTGATACAATGTTCAGAAAAATGTGTTGTCTAACAATAAATCTAAACACCTATAGAATATAAGCACTTGGTACCTAATTGACATGCAATAAAGCACACAATTGATAGTCAGGTAATTATAAAGTAACGAGTTATGTTTGTATGTCCACTGTCCACATAAATATTTATGCCAATAAACTTGTACATACATGCACCAAACAGGTAGAAATTACACAATTACTCGATTAAATTTCTAATTTCAATATAAGTTTTTGAATGCATTAATGTTTTATGATAAAATGACGGAAACAGTCCAATTAGCGTAGATATAATTTATTTATGAATTACCTAATTGCATTTGGTTGTGACATACGTATTTCACTGTGTAAACAGGATTGCTTTGTTATTGGCAGTGACTATGCCAATGTACATACTGAACAAAATGTTGGACTACAGTTCTAGTGTAGAATTTGGTTGTGATGTAAGTTAATGTACTAACTCTTACACTTATGCTTCTACATTCGGGAACTTGGGAGATATTAAATACCCTAATCGTCTGTTCTAAAAGAGGGTGACAAAATGGTATCTTGTCCCACTTTTGACCAACTAAGTATTAAGGGCAAATAATTATTAGTTCCATACGGACAACTATTTATTCATGTAATAGGCACTTTCACTAATTTTCAAACTATCCACTAAAAATTTCGTAACCAGTAATTTCAAAAACATGTTAGGTACATCTATTTTTCAAAGAATAATTTCATGTAAGTGTCTTCAAATACCGTAACGAACATAAATATTTTTCGCAATACCGAATGCAGTGTTGAAATGAAAAAATATCGATACACAACGAGTTTCCCATGCATCGATCGTCTTAATTCACTAGACCGTATAAATAGGTTGATTTAATTACTATTACGACTATAATCCGTGTTAGCACATGAAAAAAGTTTTTTTTCCATGGCAACATTCCTTCATATAAGAATAGATTAAAAAAAAGATATGTTTGTAGGGAACTTTTTGTTCTTTATTTATATATCAATTAAGGGATTATGTTATGGGTTTCGTTTTAATTTACTTATTAGTGAGCCCTTCTATACTTCGAAGCCTTACTAGGTAACTATAGATACTTAAATTTTCCCCCTTAAAAAAAAAAAAATAGATACTTAAATGATAGATCTATACCTATATAAATAGATATATTTAAAACATAATATAATAAGAAAATTTTAGCCTTTAGAGACGGGGGTTTGTGAATTGTGTTCCTTCCTCTCTGTTCTAATAGGTTCAGTGTCTGTATCAAAGTTTGTCAATATTGATTCAGCAGTTTATTTATTCAGCCTATTAACTATTAAATTTTAATGGACCATAAGATATTATTTATCTTCAACTATGGCTTAATAATAATAAAAAATATTTCATTGTTTTATAAATTGGCGTCGTAAATAGTTTCGCAAACTTGTTCGGTCGCCAGCCTTGTGTTTGAAACTTGTTTACATTTTATAGCTCCTCCTTAAATGAGAAAATGCTGAAGAATTTCGACAATGCACTTCG